GCCTCATGATCTGGTTCCTACATTTAGGACACACGAAGGATTAACCAAGCCTATATCCAGGGCATATCAGACAGAACATTTCTATATGCTTGTGCAATGAGAACTTTTAGAGAAATCCTTGCCAAATCTCATACACTGGTAATTCCACAAAAGCTTTTGTTATGAGTCTTTTGCTCCAGAGCAGTTTAATCTTTGCTCTTCATACGTTTAACTGGCACATGCAGCTTGAAATGAATCCTCCACCTTTTCTTCTCAATATGCACGTTGTCCACAAACAGGGGAAATAAGAGACAGGATACTTTAATTCCTTCCAATCATAGAATCATAGACTAGTTTGCATTTAAAGGGACCTTTCCAGGTCATCTAGTTCAACCCCCTGCAGTAAGCAAGGACATCTTCAATTAAACCAGGTTGCTCAGAGCCCTATCCAACCTAACCTTTAATGTTTCCAGGGATGGTACTTCCACCATGTCTCTGAGCAACCTGTTCCTGTGTTTCACCACCCTCACTGTACAAAAATTATTATTTTTATCTAGTCTTTTAATTTTAAACCATTAAGCCTTGTCCTATTGCAACAGGCCCTACTAAAAAGTCTGTCTCCATCTTTTTATAAGCCTCCTGAAGAAACTGAAAGGCCACAAAAAGGTCTCTGCCTACAGCCTTCTCTTCTCCAGGCTGAAGAACCCCAAGTGTCTCAGCCTTTCTTCATAGGAGAGGTGCTCCAGCCCTCTGACAATTTTTGTGATCAAAAGATCAATGTAACTGATTAGACCCAAATTATTACATTCATCAAATGCAAACTTAGTTTTCAGGTGTAAACTCAGTCCTGTTGGTATCCAGCACTAGTTTCAGAGGTATATGCTCTGCATTAAAAATATATGCTTGCATACATCCATATGTCCAGTTTTCCAGTATATTTGACCAAATTCTGCCTTGAATTACACTTCACTGACTTCAACATAACCTCCTAGCAATATGCATAGAGTAGGCAAAACTACATCCATTACTGCTGCATAGCCTACTTCCTTTGATTGGTTTTCCATCCCTTTTGATTGGTTTTCCTCCCATTTTGGCCCCATTCTTAAAGTCTTAGGCAGGCTAAGAGTGAGGCACATTACTTAAAAACAACTTCTATTTACTGATCCACATTCACTGTAAATTATACATGATGCAGTCCTACGAGGTGAAAGAAGGATTTTATCTAAAAACAGTTTAAAGGACTTAAGTTCAAAAGATATAGGCACTTTTATTACTCGTGGGCTCCCAAAACATTTTAAAACTTGGATGAAGCACAGTCTTCTACTCCCTTCTGAGCAACTGTTATTCATTTAAACACCACATTGGTTTACTTTTCTTTCCACTTTGTGTCTGCTGTTTGAAAATTGATCCTTATGGCTCTACAAATTCCAGGCAGTTATACCTTGAAATTTATTGGAATGCCATCTGACCTATTATTTGCATGACTTTCTAGCTGCATAAATAAAACATTCACTAACTGAATATACCAGGCATACAAACCAACAACATTTAGAAAGCTGTCTCCTAAATAAGAGGTGGAAAAACCCCTACACTATTTCTTTAGGGGAAAGTGACAGGAACAACTGCAATTTCAAATAATTCAGCAAAAAGCAGAAGTGCATACATATACAAAAAAGCCAGCATGTTAATTCTCAGTATAGATCTAATTAAATTTGGTCAGAACAATGTATTACAATAGATTAGTTTGTCTCATAACAACTACTGTATTTTTCTTTGTACTTAGCAAAATCAGTCTTTTGCAGATCTTTTGTTTACACAGGAGCAAACTTCATGATTCTGACATAGTTTCCTATCTCACAGGAGACTTTGCAACTACCAGAAAGCTACACTCCTCTGCCACCTAGTGCTTTAAAGAAGTGTATTTTATAATAAGTGCCAAAGTGTGGTCAAGAGAATAGATGAGAACTGAGCAGAAACCTGTTATTAAAATTCCCTTGTTAAATGGGAGATGATGGTTTGTCAGCCTCTGGCAGTGATCGATTATGGTATCATAGAGATCACCCCTATCTCTGCAGGTCTTAGCATGATACAAAATTGTTTAGCAACTTGCATGCTTGTATTTTAGGACATCATCTTCCTGGTTCTTTCTCAAATGTGAAATAAAATAATTTTAAAATAAAATACTTCTAGAAGAAATGCAATAAAATATAACGTATATAATAATACAAAATTTTTGGACACAAAAGAATGTCTTTTTCAACTACTTAGGGGTTCCCAATGTTTTAATTTACACTGTTTAAAAAAGTGTATTTTTCTATATTAGAGGTATTTAGATTTGTATTTCAAAACTACATTAAATTAGGTTTTATTTGAAGTAACAGACTGTGTTACGTGTTTTAAAGGAATTTTGGATATATATTTTTTTAAGTAATGGAGCTTTGTATTGTCCAGGTTAATAAAATGAACCTATGAAAGTCAGCTTTACACCTTTTGAAGGAAAAGTCATTTAAACCAAACTGTTCTGACTCTCACTTCAGACATTTTCTTTCTCGGAATATTAACTAGCACTGTAAAAATTATATATATGGATCTTCAATATTTATCAGTATTCACTTTTTTTTTTTCTTTTAGAGACCATGAACATTTTAATGACTTCTTTCCCTCAGATTTCTCAGAAGCCAATATGAAACATTATCAAGCATCTCCTCATCTCAGGCTTGTACAAATGCAGCACTAACATAAGCAGTATGGCCGTGAAATGAATCATTACCTAACCATGACCCTGCAAGTATTTTATACCCTCTATTGTTGACACTGTAACTTCAGTCATGTTTCCTAAGAACTCTACTGTAAAGCATCTTCATTGCTTCACTGATGCTATAATAAACTAATGCAGTATCTGCCAATTATAATTCCATTAGCAGAAACCACAGCCTCTCTCATGTTTACAGAAAAATAGTTCGCTTTTTTTTAATACCTCTTGTGTTTCTGAGAAATTGACCCATGACTCTCAATATCCCAGACTAATTTCACTTATTTCTCTACAGAACCTTTGCCAAAAATATAAATATATAAAAATAGATTAATATATATATAGAAATGTCACGAGCCGATGCCAGGGGGGCTATCGAACTATATAAAAGGCAACTAAAATACTAAGGCCTAATTGGTCTTATGTGGACAAAGAAAGAAAAACCCTCCACCTCTCCATAAAATACAAACACACCTCTCCTTCAGGACAACGTATCTGTCTTATGGCTTGACTGATCTCACCTCCAGTATGTCAGTCTCATCCCATGCAGCTCTCTCAAATGTAAGCCTTCCACTCTGCCTCCTGCTTGCCACGTTTTATGGGCTTCAGTTCTGAACAAGTGAAAAACAAAAGGGCTGGAATAAATTCTGTTTGGACAACTGAAAAGACCTTCTGTTGTTTGCGTGGATACTGTCAACTAAATAGCATCAATTTACACGTCTCAGCTTGCATTATTCCCTTAGAGTAAGGAGGAAATGTTACATCTCCCCTAACATCTGCTCCTACCAGTTATGTTGCAGAACATGGAATCCAGAGCGAGGAAAGCAGAAGTGAAGTGCTACAGCACACACGAGCCCACTCCTTAAGCATGCATAATTGGCTGATATGCAAATGAAGGCTATTCTGGAAAGCCTGGTCCTGCATCCTCCACTTCTATATTCCTACTGCGCACACTGTCCCTCTCTGACCCTGACATGGGTGAAGATACAGCGAGGTACCCACCAAAAACCAAGCTGCAGAAAGCCAGGAAACAGTTCTCTGTCAGCACAGCTCCCCAGAACAGGACAGCACAGGAGCAGATACACTCAAGCACCGAGGAAACAAAGAGGCAACTCAGCCAGGGGTAGGAGCTGGTTTGCATTTTTTTGGCAGCAAATAGCTACTCGACTGGCTGAAAAGTAACATCCAACAGTACCGTTTGTATATTGAAATCCCAACCTAAACTTGAAACCAGTTTTCATCTTAAATGCAGTAGTGCTACGGTGGTGTCTAAAACCGAAGTGAGCCCCGCAGCGAGGTGCTGCGACTGCACCACTGAAGAGGATCAGCGGACAGCAGAGGGCAGAGCTGGCCCCTCTCTGCAGAAGACTCAGGACAGGAAGGCACCGCTGCTCTTCGAGGTTTTCCAAGCAGCCGCTGACCACCCAGGCTACTTAATAGCAATGGCTGCAAAGAACCAGCTTTGATCCTTGTCACATTTACAGATTTCCAGTCAGTATATTTAAATTCGATATTTCACTCAAGAAATCAAGTGCACTTTGAGGAGGGAAACAGACTTTCCACAACCTTTTAAGACAAAATTATTTTGTATACTGGCAAGAAACACTTAACTTTCAGTCCAATACAGAAGTGCAAATACATCATGACAACTGCTATTTTGCTCAAAAACAGGGATATCACAGAGTATCTCAAACAGCAGAATTGTGGAGAGATCCAGTTAAGACAGATTCTGTTAAGAGCCTTAGAAATAACAAAATAACTGTATCTTTCCTTGTAAATACCCTTTGCATCTAATCAAAATTGGTTTTGAAATTTCTACCCCTCCCCCTTTTTTTTTTCCCCTCCAAAAGAGCAGCAGTCAGAACCAGAAAGCGGGTTTCCCTGGGAAATTTAACATATTTTATTATAACACCTGTGAATGTATTTCCTTTGTTAAAAAAAGTTATTTACAAATCCAGAATAGAACATTAGCATACGGATTATTCAGTATACTGTATGCAGATGTCCAAACCCAAAGTAGATTATGATTTCTCTTTAATTGTTGACTGCTATGATGTATCACTGAGCAGCAGTGCCCACTGCCTGCTACAGAAACAACAAATGACTGCAACACCAGCTGGTATGACACATAATTCTAACAGGCTCCCTAAAAGTTCACAGACTTTCTGTCTCAACATTGAGTGAACAAAAGAAGGAAAACAATCTCAAAAATAAATCACCATCTTTCTTGCCACAGCAACTGTTTTTTGTTAGCTACAGTTCAACAGCATCAATTTTCAACAAACCAAGATGGACGTTTCCTGGCTCTTTCAATGATCCGTTTGCCTTCATCTTTTTCCGTGGGCTTTTCTCCATCATAAAGGACAAGAGTCTCTACTGTTGGGGCATTAAATGGTCCTCCTTCCTTTTTACCTATTTCCATCCGTATGAGCCGTGTTTCTGCTTTGACCTTTGCATAACAATGGCCACAAAGGACGTGTTTCTGTTTCAGGTTTCCACACTCGGGACAAACATCTATGTTCCTCTAAAAAAAGACAGTGGAAAATAGGAAATACTGTACTTTGAACAACAGCAACACAAGAAATACAGAACAACCACAAATTACTAAAAATTATTCAATCAAAAACCAGAGAAACTCAATTGCCCTTTCAAAATTTATTCTTCTAGGTAGTTTTTCTGTAAGGTTATGTCAAATGCTTACCACTAAAGTGTGACTATTACTACCAAAATCAGCCTTTGAAGTCAACACCTACTGATGTCTGGAGGACTAAAAACCTGTTGACTCAATTAGATGCACAAAAGCTGCAGAGCTTCTCTGTTTACGCCTGCATTTTTGCTAAAATTCATGTTTTATTGGCTTGCACTTAAATTGTCACTGTTTATTTAACCACAGGCTATGGTCACATAATGAATGTACCTGTTATATAAAGTATTTTGAAGGTTACAGTGGCCTTTAAGGTTATTTATAAAACAAATTCCAAACAGGTTTATCAGGGAGTACTCTAAAGTAAGTGAGATGGGTACTAACTGGCATAAATCTTACTCCATGGCTTTTTCACCGGCTCCTTTGCCACTAACGAAGTTACTGGCAGCGGATCAGACGGTGGGCCCGCGGAAATGTGGCGATTACCTTGACTTTTATGAGCTTACTGGGGTCCCTCCGCCTGCAGCGGTTCACCTCGATGGTGCGCCTTTTCTTGGGCGCCGCCATCCACACGACGCCATCCAGCAGGCTGGGCCCCTCGGCACCGTCGCTGGTGTGGCCTACGGGCTGTGGCAGGAAAGCTGGAGCCTGGGCAGCCAACGCTGGCCCTGGAGGGAAAACAAGAAGCCGTTCGTGGCACCCAACCCCCC